CAGAATTCCCCAGCCAGCCTTGGGAATTCTGGGAGTCGAAGTCCACCCATCTTCAAGCGGCCAAGGTTGAGAAACACTGCTGCACACCATAGAGTTTTTAAAACCATGGGGTCTTCTAATGCATGCAATGCTATTTCATAATTCTACTTCTCACAACCCAAAGCCCAGCATCGGTGATTTTTGCTCCCACGCCCCCATTCTGCATTTGGCGGGGAGGGGTTTATCTTTGTACATCGGTGTGGCTCAGGTTTTTTTTTACCCCCATAAACTTTTGCAAGGGAGTTGATTTATTGCAAGGGTTGGCAGGGGAGGGGTGGTTGTGCCACCATGAAATGAACGAGTTTCTTATCATCTTGGGGGGGGGGGTTCATAACACCATTCAGCCCGATTCTGATCTTTGTAGGCGGAGACCCGCTGAATATCTTTTATTTCCTGACTGCTGGTTCTTTTACGGCTGACGGTTGATCTGAAAAGGCCGTCCTAAAGCTACAAGTGCTCCGGAGGGCTGGCGCATGGAATTTTTTTCCTAAAACAACACTGTAAAACTGACCACCGGGCCACTAACATCAGGACCTTCGTCTGCCAAGAGAAACGAGATATTCGGTTTCTAACCCCGTAAAACCGCTCAGTCTCTCGGCCCAAGGTTTCCTCTGCAAAGAGGCCCCTTGCGTAACGTGTAATGTTGTGTAACGTTCCGGATCATCTGCGAGAACGACGCGGTCCCCAAACCTCCCTTCCAGGTAGGCCTGGCGCTGCCCCTCCTAAAGGAATGGAAGCAAGATGAAGTCCTAAAAAGAGGGACTGGAGGAAGGGGCAATGGGGGAAGGAGGACAGCCCCCTTCAAAGACCTGCAGGGTCTCAGGAAAAGATAGTTGAGATCCATCCTCTTGCCCCAGAGAGCAGGGGATGGAGTAAACGGCGTTGCCAGAAGGCAGATTCCAACGCTGTAAGATTAAAAGCAATTTGGTAGTGGAACCGGTGGTCTGGAGCGGGTGGGCTCCTTTTCACCGGACATGTCCAAGCACAGCCTGGACAGCCACCGGTCAGGGATGCTTTGGGGTAGTGGTTTAGGCACCAGGCTAGAAACCGGGAGGCTGTGAGTTCTAATCGTGCCTCAGGTGCAAAGCCAGCTGGGTGACCTTGCGCCAGTCTCTCTCAGCCCCAGGAAGGAGGCAATGGCAAACCCCTTCCGAAAAGCCTTCCAAGAAAACTGCAGGGACTGGCCCAGGCAGTCGCCAGGAGTCATCACGGACTCAAAGGAACAGAAGGAAAACTCAGCAGGGGTTTGGCTTGATGACCTCAAGGATACCTTCCAACACTAGGATTCTACCATTAAGAATGGCAAAACCTCCTCTTCGTAAAAAGGAGGCCACCCCAAGGAGAGCATTCAGCCTTGGACCCTCTTGTTAGCCGTCACAAAGTCAGAGATGAGTCCTTTTCCTGCCCTGCAAGGTTTCTCCCCAGGACAAAGAGAACCCACGCAAAAGGGGGCAGCAGGGTTACCTGGTGGTCCCCTTTCCCAAAGCACTGAGGTCCCCCTGGCGCAAACCAGTATCGAATGGGAGCGACGCAGAAGGTCAAACCCTGAGCTCCCCAGAGGAAGGAGC